AAAAAAAAAAAAAAAAACAAGCCCACACACACTGCAACTCTGCTTGCTTTTTGTCGCATGACGAAATACTACACATGTTGGGTCACTGGCCAAACTAAGAAATCAGCAGCTTCACATGCCAGGAATGTGCAGCGCCCAGCCCAGCTCAATTTACATACTGCTGAAGAACGTCTCATGTTCCATGCCGGGCGGCCTCGTAGAGTCCACCTGTCGCCGTGCCGCTACTAGATCGATGTTCCAGTCGCGGTGCACACAGCGATGGCATGCACTTGACCCTCCACCACCCCGTGCGAAGTAAAAAAATTCCACAACGACATGTCGTCAGCCAAAGATGTTCTCCACAAACATGGATGACCCCTTGCCTTGGTGGCCCTGCAGCTCCCATGGTGCCCCAGTGCCAAAGACACGAAGGGTCCCATCCCAGCTAGCAGTGGCAAAGCCGCCTCAACATCTCACTCTCGTGATCTGCGAGTTAGACACTTTGCGACAATCCTACACCACCGACGAAATCTAGCGCAGATCACAGATGGAACATTGCAGCCGGCATGCGGGGGCCAACGGAAATGCCAAACACCTCGGTATAGCCACATCTGTTACCACTGGGACATGCATGCTGAGACGTACATGCAACTTTTGAGGATCCGATTCAACAACGCTGCAAAGCACCAAATCTCGCAACACCCTACATCACCACTGTGGGATTCCCAAGCCGTCTGCAAAGCTATGCAATGCTGCTTGGCGGCCGTTTTAGGATGCGAGATCCGCTGGGAGATCTTCCCTGAAGCCTGGGCTTGCACGAACATGACAACATTGACTGGCTTGCAGCATGTGGCAGGTGGAGCTGCAAGCTGAACCTTTGACTTCCATGTTATCGTCCAGAGAGACTTAGGCTATGCTTGCTTGAAGAGAAGCCCAAGTGGCAAGATCCCATTGTAGGGTTATGTTGTCTGCCGCTCCAGAAAGCAGCGTGCGGTTCGGTGCAAAAGCCAAAGCCGTGACACCATAGCGGTGGCCCATGAGCCTTAGCAATGCAGGAACGGATTTCAAAACTGGACTGGGTGCCGTTACAAGAATTTTAGACATGGGATTTTCTGCCTCGTGTGTAAGTTACAGCTTGCTCGTCTAAATTCAAGTCTTGAAGGCTCAACCCACCCGACACTTCCAAGCTTCCCGCCTCCTCCACGGCCTCAGATGCTCTCAAGGGTCTCCAAAAGCGGAAACACGGATGATCTGATCAGACTCCGCAACCATCAAGCTAACTTCACCCAAGTAGCCGCGTAGGTAGCGCAGCAGTAGAGGTGAGGTTCCAAACATAGATCGCACCCTCCTGCTTTTGCGGAGGCCCAAAACATGAACAGTGCTGCCTCCCCACCAGGTGCGAACCTTGTCCCCGGACGCCAGGAGACCTTCGGACGAGATGGCGAGTGCATAGATGGCACGCTTGTGACCTGCGCGTGAGGGTGAGGCAACGTGCTATTGACTGTCACTGCCAGGCCAGGCAGTTCAACCCTCCTACGGACGACGAACTCCCACGTTCTCCAGTGCTGCGCCTTGCAGCACACCCAGGAAGCCCGGATGCGCGGATTGGTTGGAAAATGAGAGCTCTGCCTGACACGCTTTCATCTCCATAGCTTGGTGCACTGGTTTGGGTATGCAAGTCCAGTCTTGGAGCCCAAAAAGGATTCCATGTGGTTAGGCACACATGTGGCTCTTTGAGAGCTGGGTGGCCCTAAGCCGACTTCTGCCCGAGTCAACAGTGAGATGGCTGACATTGTGCAAGGTTCCCCGCCGCTCATGGCCACTGAGGAAGAGCATGCAAAGACTCCAATGTCCAAAAGCCTCATGCTTGGCGGCCCCGGCAAAAAACTCCACGACAAACCTTTGAAATCCGTCTGCATCAGTGGGAGGACAACCAGAAGCTGTCAAATCTAAGTGTCCCTTCAAGGGCTTGGGAAAACTTCAGCGCATAATCACAACTCAAGAGCTGCTTGCCAAGATTCCAGATGAGGGCGTGGAGTATGGACAGCCCCACGGCGGCCATGAGGAAGTTCAAGAATGCTCAAGATGCTCAGCTTGCTTCTTGGGCTTCTCCAGGGCACAATTGCATTCATCTTGCTTCCGCTTTTGCCCCTAAATGTCTGAAATCCTGCCTGCTGCAGTGCCTGGGAGCCAAGCAGCAGAGACACGAGTGGCCGGCAGAGCCCCATCATATATAGCGACTTCGACTTTAATGCTCCGCACTCCAACTGACCTTGTCATCTGTGCACTCCACATGCGCCAAGTCCATGGAGACCTTACAAGGTAGGCAGACTTCGGCGCAGCAAGCAACATGAAGGCAATCCCAACAGCAGATTCACGCTACACTTGCCTGAGCCGCTGTCAAAAAAATGCAGCTGCGTGCTTTGCTTCTGCAATTGTGTAGAATGTTCTGGGCTAGCAAATGATGTGTTTCGCAGCCTCGAAAGATCCCCAAGGCCACGCTCCGTCAATCTAGGCCATGGACCTCCTCGTCCTGCACCTTGCATCGAGTGCAGCCCGCCGGCCCCCTAGAAGTATGGAAATAAGAGCGTATCTAGGCATCTGTCAGTCCCTTTACAATCTGAGAATGCAAATTGAGGTCCCCGGCTGCCTCTGCCGCAGCATCAAAAAAAGGAAACGTGCGCTGACAAGCCTCGCTTAATCATGCAGGCTTTGGAGATTTCATCTATGAAGGCAAGAAGCCTTGCAACCAAGCCAGATTCTGTCCTGTAGGTCAGGGAGTGGCTACTGCCAAAACACTCGTGTAAAGAAGCGACGAAGACTCACTGAATATAACAGCACACGCCAACACATGTTTTGCAAATTGCAAGAAACGAATCAAAGACTTGCAAGTGTGGGTAGTAAAGGACTGCGGCTGTTGCAACTAAGGACGAATGGGTGGCTTTCATCCCAAAGGCTGAAGCTCATTCCAGTACACACGCCGTCTGCAATCTTCGGAATCCTTTCTACCAAGCTCCTCTACAGGCCTTGCACCAGGACACGTGGAACATCACCAGCGCGGCCCGTTGCTTTTCGCGCTGGCCAACAGACAAGCTCAAGTGGAAGACTACACAAACCAGCTGGGCATGCTGACTGCTGCCATGCAAATGGGTCAGCACTTGATGCTACCGGCACAAAATTGCAAGATGCGCGACTTTCCAGTCCTCATCATGCCTCGCTCCGACCCTAAAGTCTCGCCTGCCCTTGAAGAAAGTTCTCGAACGTGTCCCTGGTCCTGGCAACAAGCATGTGGTAAAAAGAAAAAGGCACGCGGAAGATTGGAAACCTCGGCAACAGCGGCCAAGCGATCACTCACATTTGCCCGATGCCGTGTTGTTGACGCCACGCCATACTAGCAAGCACGTGCCAGTTGACCAGCATCCAACACATAACAATGCAGGAACATGGGTAACCATGCCGGAGGTGCAAGGTGACAGCATTCTTGCCCTTCTCGCCTGCCGAAACTGGAACACAAGGCACAGCTCATTGAGAACCTTCTCCAAACTGGCGACATGTTAATTCGAGCATCTGCAAAAGTGTCACACTGAGCAGTGACGTGCCTTGTTTTTTTTGCAAATGCATCTGAACAAGAGACATTGCGACTGCATAGCATCTATCACACGACAATCTGTCTTGTGTCATCCTAAGGCAAACAAAGAACTAGCAAGATCTGTTGCGAAGTCAGGAGCGTCTGAAATGGGCATCCTGGCCTGCAACACCGTTGTGCAGAAGCCTCCAACATGCACAAGCCAAGCTCTGCCAGCATCGATGTTTTTGAATTACGTGTACGGTGGTTTTCTCGCGCCATTGCCGCCATTGCCCTCAAACTAGAAAAGCGCATGGACTTGTCCACATGACACCATTCAACAAGCCAACATGTTTAGCAAGACCACCAGCAGTGGGAGCTTACCAAAAATCTAAATAGGAAGCGATTGAATGGAGAACGCGGTTTCCATTCCCGGCCCCCTTCACAGGCCAAAAAACTTGGGCTCATCGACAATACCCCTCGCCCCAACTCCGCTCTTGTACGACACTCTGACCGAAAAAATGCATCGTAGCAAAACACCACGACAACATGTTCAGGTGCCAACTATGTGTTGAAATGATGCTGAGTCCCACACGATAAACATAGCAGCGCAACCCGTCCTGAATCAGCGAAACGTCCAAACTGAAATCCAATTCGTTTCACTAAACCCACAACGACATGAACATGGATGCACTTCAACATCCAACCACCAAAACTGAAACGTTGACGTGCGCGGCTTGGTATATGCGCACTCCCGTTGTCTTCTTCTTCATCCACCCCGTAACATACCCAAAAATGAATTGTCACCTGCGACAGTTGTGCGGCATCTGTTTCATGGATCTGTAATTGAGCGAATCTATCTGAGAAACCAACCGGCGCCGAACGAACGACCATGTTTCATGTTTTGTTTGTTGCTTCTGTTCACCAAATGATCTTGGCTTCTGCGCCAACATTTGCATTCAAATTGGTTGGGTTGCAAACCAGCCAATAACATTCCACAAACCGCCCAATCAACCCAATATTCTGGTCCAACAAGACCAAACCTCGTCATGCGGCATTGACTGTTTGAACCGCAAACGCTTTGAGCGGCAAATATGGGAACTTGCGCAAACTCTTCAATGTACATGCTGTGCAAGACGACTCCTGAATTCAGTTGTCTCAGCCGCACGCGTTACTTCAAGAAACCTGCACATTAACTTTGAAATCTATTGTGGACCCTCATAACCCGCCAAAATTGTATTTGCATTAGGGTTGTGTTTTGTATATTTCACATGGAATTACATTATCATTCTTCATGAAAAGTAAATGCTCCAACATAATACCACGATTTTCGTGAACCACCGACCCACGCAGCCCCTAGAGAGTGTCACCACGTAGGCGGACCGGGCCCACAACCAAACGCACGAATGATGCCCGAGCATGCCCACAAAACACCAATCAAAACACCCTCCAGCTCACGTGCGGGGACACAATCAGGTCACTGTTTTCAAGTCTTCGGTTCAATGGGGTTTTGGGAATATTTCCAAAACTCACTAAAGTATCTTTTCTGAATTCAACTCAAATACTTGTCCTCATCCGGAAGTAAATCGAACACCTATTCAAAATGGTATAATAATGAACCATCTGTAAAGTTGCAGTCACCGAACTTCAACGCAACGCGCCTGTCTTCTTTCTATGCATGGTGGTAACGTCTCAAAATGCCGAATGCGAACCAGTGTGGTTGCAACGTCCAGCACCTGTGGGACAATAGTTAGTTTCCCCAAACTAACCCGACCATTGCGAGTGGTGGGTGGGAAAACTAACATCTGAGCTGAGACTGACGCGGAAACACTTAATTCGAAAAGGCTCAAATCAAACAACGTGACATGCCTGAGCTTTTCCTAACTGACATGTATTGAAATTGAAACTGAAATTTCTTTTAAAAAAAGATTGGAAACCATGTTGCAAGAATTTCTGAAGCTCCGTGGAGCGGCGCCTGCATTGGAGATCCCACCCTCCCATCCCTCCTGTATCCATCCCAACAGTTCCCCAGGGCGACCCCGGCTGTGCCTGTTTTCAGGTCAGCAACTTTCAAACACGTCGGCCCGTGCAAGAAAAGCGATAACGTTAAACTCAAGGGTCCCAAGCGCGGTCTCATCACTCAATCGGCGTGAAAAACACAACAACAGCAGCATCGGCATGAGGCATAAACTGAACAAGCCAAAATGCGTAGCGAGCTCAAACTACTATGCAAGTAGAGAAGATTTCCTGGAAGCAAGGAGTCCGACAGGAAATACATCCCTCCTGTGAAGACGTCATAGAAGATTCTCAACATGACTTTGTACAAACCTAGAGCTACCTTTGCTGCAACCTTCCAAGCGGGAAGGACACACACTTAAGCAAAGACTGGCTTGGGGTGTTGCTCAAGAACCTTGGATGCCTCTGCAGAGGCCATTACGGCGTCACGCTCCCACGTGCGGGCTCTGGCGAATGCCGTGCGCGACTGACGTCTCAAGTCTCAAGGCATGCCAAGCGCGTCTCTCGCGGCAGGCATGTGCAGAACGATCCGTACACTCGTTGAGGTTCCTGCAGCTGTGGACAAGGAGGTGACCCGGCGGACGCAATGTAAGGTGCTTGCCACGCGAAGGCACCCAAACAACTTCAACGTTGATGTCGGCGACACTCAGTTGAGCCGAGATGTTCTGCATTTCCTGGGCCAAACGACCAGCTTGCACCGTCGGGGGTTGCTTATGGCCTCAATGGCTGCCTGGCAATCACACAAGACACTAAGGGACAGGACCTATGAAACTCTTGCAAGAGGCCTACACTTGCCTAGGCCACCTAGAAGTGTTAGGTGTGCTTTGGCTGGCCATAGACAGCCAGGTGCAAGTGGCGACATGCGCGTCAAACGAGCTGCCTCAGCAACCGGCGGTTCAGCTTGGCATCACGCCAAGAAACTTAAGATTACTGAAGGCACCGCGGTCACTTGCTGCTGTGGCGGTGAATGGCCAAGCAGTCCCCACCTTGCTGGGGTCAGCCCAGGTAGGCGCTCCTTTCGTCGTGCGCAGGCGTGTCTTTGCGGCTC